GGGTGGTCGAGATGTATTTCTACCTTATTGGTTAAAACAAGACTTTGGTAGGCTGGGGCTGGCTGTCACATCAACACATCAGAAGGTCTGAGGAATGTTCCTCCTTTTCCCTTCCAAACAGTCAAATCCTGTTCAGTGTTTTAAAGCAATACTGTTTAAGTTTTAGCCACCCTGAGGACCACTGACAATACTGCATTGTCTCAAAATGAAAAGGAAACATTTCCCTTCTAGATTAAATCGTACATCACAGAACCAAAATGTGTCTGATCAGGTGTTTTATTGCCTAACATGAACTTTTAGCTAATTTCAGCTTTTGTTGTTTAGGGGAATTGCAGACTAAAGTGGCGTAACATAACTCATTCAGCAATGGATCCAACCCAGTTACAAAGGAGCGTTTTAAAGAAGGACAGCCAGGAGCGTCAATACGCAGCAAAAGCTGGATATCGCCCTGAAAAATCATTTAATATATCTCAAATTAACTGAATACATGGGTCAAAGCATGCATAGTGTTGTTGGAATACTAACTATGTATTTATATAAGTATTGTTTTAGTTACCTCATTTTTAATCGATTGTCTATGCCTGTGTTCAAAAATATTTGTCCTCTTGGAGTTTACCTATTTTGTTTGCTTATAACCTGGAATTAAAACGGATTTTGGCCCATTTCCTGGCTGATCCAGCTGCTTCAAGCTAAGGAATCTATGCTGGTTGTCTGATTTGACATACTCATTCTTCCACATTAACATACATTCTTCTTTCCCAATTTGAATGTTATTTTAGCATTTTTTTTTCTCTCTCACTCGATGTTTTGGTTTGAGATTAAACTATTTTCAAACATGCACAATTTTCAGTAGCAGTAACACATTCCTACTTTGCTTCACTTCTGACAATTCATTCATTGTCTGTCGATGAACCCCATAGCATGATGCTGCCACTTCATGCTTTGCTGTTAGGATGCATTCCATTCCTGGATGCATTTGTTCTATCGAGTCGAAACACATGTATTGATCTCTTCATACTGTAACCCCATGAAGTTTAGATTGTAGACCAAGATCTTAACTTTGTGCTTCTGCTATAACAGCTGGAATAATCAGCTCCTTTTCCAATGGGAAAATGATCAAAGGAAATCCAGCAGGTGGTTGATAAAGTGACAAAGTAGACTGCAGACTAAAATTAAAACCGTTTATACCGCTTTAAAGTATTCATCTTATATGTTTCCTAATATTTTGTCTGTGAAAATTTTTTTTCCTAATATCTTTATTAAAATTTGCAATACATGAAAACTGGAAAGAGTCAAGGCTAAATTCCTGTTCTGGAGAAATATTTCCCTGTCAGAGGATGAATATTTTGGTCGAGTCAAAACAAAATCAAGTGGGAAATGTTGGTTAGACATGTTGAAAAGATGTCAAGTTCAATACCATTGCATGCTGGACCCTAAAGAAGAAATCAGACCCCTTATACTTTTTCACATTTGGTCACAAATCAGCTGAAAATGTTAGGAATCCAGTTTGTGTGGGTTGTTTGTTTTTCTCTCTCGACCAACAGGTGGTGCCCTGTTCTCGTTGGGCCTCCCTACACACCTGCGGCTCGTTGGATCATTACTGGAGGAGTATATGAGCAGTGGGCTGTCACTACCTCGACTCCAGAGTGTTTGCCACTTTTGGGTACTCTAGCCAAGCTGAGATTAGCAGAGTCTAACCTAAGCTTTGTTTCTCTGAGTCTTATCTAGTTTTTGTCTTTGCTCTTTGGCAGGAAGCCTTCCTGAGTAACTGGATACCTGGACCTTCCCCCCCTGGAAGGATTAACTGAGAACGCACTGAGCAGGGGAAAATCTCCACATGATCCGTTCAAGTCCTCTTCGGAAATCCAAGAGACAGCCTGGTCCTTTACTCCTCTGGGTCCAACGCTTGTCTATCTGTCCGCGCTCCATCGAGTTCCCTCTTCTCTGGATTAACCCCCACATGCTGGATTCAAGGTTTGACAAGAGCCCCCTCAGACATGAGTCCCTCTCCGGTAATATTCAAGCCTCAGTCAAATTTCCTACGGTCCCTGAACAGATCATTGTGATCTCCCCTTCAGACTTTCCAGTTCCGGTTCATCAGTCCACTGAGTTCCAGATCCAACTTCTGTTATACTTTTACATTTAATAAACCTGTTAAACTTTTTCCTTAGTAGAACATAGCTGCAAAGTGAGACGAAACTGTAGATTATCTTCAGAAGTATTATAGAACTACCATTCCCTGTAATTACACCTACATGTCTCTGTTATTTGTGCCTAAGATGCTCAGGTGTAGATTGGTTGGAGAGTCGCTGGGAGCAGCAGTTGTTTTTCAAATTTTACAGATTCTGATATGGAGTTTTTCCTGACTTTGACTAGACCATTTACCAATATAAACAAGCTGGGATCTAAACCATTCCACTGTAGGTCTAGCTGCATGTTTGATCAAATCTTTTGCAGTTTCATATGGACTCTCTCCCAGATTTGCCCTAGTTTTGGCTTCACCTTCTCAGAAAAGTATGCCCCCAGCAACAGTGCCACCACCATGTTTTCCCATGTAATATGATATTGTAGAATATTTGGTTTAAGTTTATTTTTGGTCTAATTTGAGGAAAGCATGCACTTCCACTTATAAATAGAAATGAACACTACTCCTTTCCTTTTTTTTCTCTTATAAATTATGAACACTATATTTCACTATCCTTCCATTTAGAAAGTTTGCATGACACAATGTTCTCCATTAGAGAACATTGTGTTTAACAATTTGTCACCTTGTGGCAGCACAAGGTGACAAATTGTTAAACTTTTAATGTGAGTTTCTTCCAAAAAAAGTGAAAAACCACTTGATTTTTTTTTTTCCAAGTTGGAAGACGTTTCACTCCCCACCCATAAAGCTTTCTCAATTTAAACTGTCTGGATTAGTGTGGAGCTCCAGGCCTTATAGAGTAGCCCAACAAGAGCCTTATTATGGCTTAGAAAACATGCATATTGAATGGAAACAGGTCCACTTTGTAAAGGGGAGTCGTTAGGGTCATTATTGGCCTGGCTCACAGGAGACATGTTTGGATCACCTATGTGGCGATGAGGATTGAGGTGATAATGGGAAGGAATCAGATCTAAAGCTGCATTATAGGTTTTCAAGAGCTGGAACCCGAGTCCTCCTCCTCTGATTAAGGTTATTTTTCTCTCTTAATGTAAATCTTCACCAGCAATGTGAGATTAGTTTTTTTAACAGAGCAAAACTGGTCAATATGACATATCAGGAAACACTTTTTTTAATAAACCTGAGTAAGTTGTATAAATTTAAGCCCATTTGCACACACACACACACACAGAAACACACAGCTGCCTTCCATTACGAGTCCCACTGAGCCCTTCCTGCTCCACTTTTATCAGTAATTCTGGAGCATGTCAGTGTTTAACCCCCCCTCCCACACCGTCACACACCGCCTTTCTTTTTTAACAAACTGAACAGCCATGCACGGTCACCCAAACACCCTCTTCCTCTGTCGTTCCTTAACAACAGCCCAGGACACCTGATTAGACAGAAACAGCTGCAGCAGCTGCCACTCTCCTCCTGCTCCCTCATCATGTCATTACTACAGTCACTTAAACAGCATGTGGATCAGTGTTTGACTTTTAAAGAGACAAGATGGGCTTGTTGCATTCACAGGCAAGTGTGGCAAAATAATAATACTCTTTTTGTTGTCCTTCTCCTTCTCTCCACAGGAGACTCCTTCCAGTGTTTTTGCGAGACTGCAGGATTTCTTTCTCATGGCTGCGTCCAACACAGAGTGGAAAGCACTTAAAACTAAAAAAAAGAAGATATTTTTACAATGTTCAAACTCCCTTCCCTTTGGCTACAAAAATATGCCAGGCTGTTGCAATCCTCTCATGAGTTTATGGTGTTAACATGAAAAAGAAAAGGAAGTGGTTTAAATACAGAGTGAGCCGCAGCCAGTGATTATCACTCAGTAATTACCAGCAGATCTATTTCACAGGGGATTGGGGTAACCCCCAACCCACCACCCACCGCCCTCTTTTTTTTTTCTTCCATTACTTCCATCAAGATGAGTAACATCAATTTATGCTGCAAGGATTCATGCAAAGCTGAAGACATGGGCTGTAAATCCCTTCTCTCCTGAAATTCAATAAAGAAAAGCAAACATGCCCTTGATTCGTCCTTGCAGTTTTCTACTCAACAGTGATCACAATTAAATCGCTTTTCTAAAGGTTGGAGAAGAAATATGCACCATTTATCAGTCGGATTGGGATTAAGTGAAATTATATTTTGGGGGAACACAAGAGACAGCCACTTCATTAACAGGTGCGTTATTATTTTGTTTTTAAAGTGAAGTAATACTGGACATGTTAAGTCCAAACACGCTCACAGACGTCAAGTGGGGGCATTTGCGCTATGCGTAAAAAAAAAAGCATTTGCGATAAGGACGCAAAACATGGCACAACAAGGCAGATTAGGAGGAAGACGCACATGGAACCGGTGGAGATAATCCCGTTATCTCGTTGGACGTGCAACCCCGGCGTGAAAGCATCCTCAGAGACAGAGATGAACTGAACACGAACTAATGCTGCGGGTGTATATGACCTGAGGAGGAGGAGGGGGGTGCGGGAAACACGCGGGTAAACACTGCTGCTCTTGACCTTAAGGAACACGCTCGTCTTTTACCGCAATGTCACTGGCGCTCTCCGTTAGTAATTGAGCCCACACTCATTTCCTCCCCTTTAAGGCGTTGGAAAAACCTTTGGATGTCTTTTATTTCCAGTTGTAACAGCTTGTTCTCATCCGGTGATGGATGACTGCTGTCAAGTGGAGCCGGGCGGGAATCAGGGGCTCTCCTCAGGTCTGCGCACCCTGGTTATCACCTTTACGCGCAGGAGGAGCAGCGCGTGTGCACAGAAGCATAGACCCACATATCTTAGAGGGAAATTACGCACGGCTTAAGTCTAAATAAATAAACAAAAGAAGACAGGACAGCACTTACGGGATGAGGCAGGACTCTGTGCGCTCCATTGGGGTTTTCCACTTCTACCCCCCCCCCCCCCCCCCCCCCCTCCTGCTTTAACGGAATCCTCAAATTCCGTGGTCGCAGTCCACGTCCCTGCAGATGTACCAGAGGATCACATAGAGGATGAGCAGGATGGCGAAGATGAAGAGCGCAACTAGGATGGCTTTGGTCACCGGAGAAATGAGCGACTGCATGTCAGGAGCAGAGCCGGGCAGAGCGGCGTCCGTCCGGTCCTCAGTCTGCCGTCTCTCCCTCCCTCTCCTTCTATCTGGTGGCAACTGTTGAGGACTTAGGTCTTTTTAAACACACGTGTAGGTGCCCCGCGTGCGCGCACACGCGCAAACCCGGGCTGCGAGAACGTGTATTTAAATAAATATATATATAAAGCCGCGGGGATCCAGGCGCGCAACGCGTGGGGGGGGCTTCCCTCTCTGGAGGTGGTGGAGTAGTGAGCTCTGATTAAATCTTTCCGGCGTCTTGTAGAGCATCAACACTGAAGTGGAAACAGCCCACTCACGGTTCAGTCAAAGGGAAATGCTCGGTGAGATGTGGATATGCTGGCAGAGAGCTGTCAGTGCGTGCTGGATGGAAAAGTTGCGCACCAAGCTGCCTGCTGCACTTGACGGCAAACAGGTTGATTAGTATTCCTCTCAGCACCGTCTGTGCGTGCGAGAGAAAAATGCTGGTGTGACAGGGTATCTTCTTATCTCTACACCCTGCATGTCGCTTTTTTGAGCAAAGGTGCCATTCTAAGAAGAATTAGGCGCGTCTCATTTTATTCCTGGATTAAAATAGTTTACAATTGTTCTTACTATCGGTTTGTGACACAATTAGAGCAACATGTCAGGTAACTGATATCAAAAAGCAACTCTGAACCATTAGGATAGCACTTTGCAGCTCTACAAAGGTGTTGACATTTCTCTTCTTTATCTTTGGACGCCTGTTGGATTTCCTAAACTTATGTTTTTCTTACAAATTATCGCAAAAATCAGTAAAACACCTTTTTAGGATAAAATAAGCTTCAAATGAAACACATTGAAAAGAGTAAAACAGATCTGGCATGTGAAGTTAAAAAATAAATTAAAGCATGTTAAATATCTAGTTTTTGCTCATGTTAAAAGTACTGATTTGTATTTTTTTTAAGGAAAAATAAATAAATGGAAATATATTTTCAAAGAAATCAATGAAAACCCTAAAACCTGCAACTTTCTACAAACCACAGTAATTATATCAAAGAAAAAACTCTGATAAAAAAAAAAAAAAAAATTTAAACTATTTGGCTAACATGCAAAACATATTTTTTGGCCAAAAACTGACTCCCCCAAGACACCATCCCCATATTAACATAGTGGTGGCAGCATTATGCTGTGGGAATGCTTGTTTTTTTGGGTTTTTTTAGCATTCCAATAGAGAGTTAAACTGGCATAGTTGATTAATGAACTTAAATATAGGGAAGACAGTTTGTTTAAACTTCGAAAAGATTTGGGAATAAGGAAAAATGAAAGACAAAAACTTAGTGCAGGATAAATCTTTTGGTAGGTCGGAATATTTCAGCTTTAATTTAGGTAGAAATGTTGTGTGTTCAGACTAAAAACATTTAAAGGCATTACATTTTATTTTTAAAGTGCTTTATGACCTATGCTGATAGTTATTGAAAGAGTTTTATAAGCTTCGCACAAATCATTTAGGCCACCAACACCTAATGTTGCTGTTAAAAAAAAGGCCTCACATTGATTAAATATTCCCATAGAAAGAGCTGTTTTTTTTTTTTTTTTTTTTTTGTGTTTCATAATGCATACTTGAACCATAATACACTAACAGAGACTTTAAATATCGAATCTGTGCTCACATCTGCGCAATTAGAACATCTCAGTAGATCAGCGAGTAACGTAATGAGGAACTTCCTCGTGTCACCCACTAGATGGCGACAAACACACATCTTGCATGTCTGTCCTCAGCAAATGTGATAGGTGTAAAATATTCTCTGCAGCACTTCGAAGTTGTGCCAATTAGTGATGACTGTTAAACAGCTCTAACCCACATAGGTAAGAATATATATTTCTATATTTGAATTTGGCATGGTCTAAATGAGCCTTTGCAAGTTATAATAAGGGCTAGTGTCTGTCGTATCAGCAGCAAGCAGAGTGCAGCAGAGCGGTGGATGCTAGCTCTGCTTCAGCTAATTTAGGAGAAGGAATCAATTTACGCCTTTCAAGCTCCCAAATAAGATCTGTATATGAAATGTCAAATATGCTAAGCTCTGTTGATATTAAGTCATTGCCGGAAACTGGACAAATATTGACAAACCGTTGACTAAGCTAGCGGCTAAGTAGCTAGCTACACACAGGCCGGAAAGATTGTCAAGTTTTTTTAAGTATAGTGTGTTTTCCTGTGAAATCTTTCAAATTAAAAGAGGCGTTTTAACACGATCTCATCAATAAACATTCATGGGAATTATTTATTTAAATGTGGACATTATAACAACTTTAAACCAAATATTTATGTCTTTTTTTCTTCTTGCTGGACTTCATTCATCAATCTGTTCATCATATACCATTTACCTCTTTGTTTATGTTTTTATTTATTTTTTTGTTAAACCATTTAAACCCCGTAAAGAGCTGTTGTTTAAAAAAAACATTTCAAATAGACTTTGAAACCAAATGATATGATTGTGTTGTGAAATAATATATAATATAGAAAAAATATATTTTTCTATATTAAGTTTTGAACACTTTAGTGTCATTTTATCCTTTTAAAAACTTTATGCACCCTTGGTAATAAATACATTCATAAAATTTTTTTAAATGTCACATATCTTGTTTAGATCAAACAAGAGCTCATCTGAAGCATGTCTCCACCTTGGCGTTCATTCCTTTTGTACGACAGAGTATTAGAGCCAGGCTAGAGATTCTATTTTTCTTCTATTTCGAGAATAAAGACGTAAAATTACAAGAGTACAGTCGTAACATTACGAGAGTACAACTTTATTCTCGTAATGTTACGACTTTATTCTCATGATGTTATGACTTTATTCTCATGATGTTATGACTTTATTCTCATGATGTTACGACTTTATTCTCATGATGTTACGACTTTATTCTCATGATGTTATGACTTTATTCTCATGATGTTACGACTTTATTCTCATGATGTTATGACTTTATTCTCATGATGTTACGACTTTATTCTCATGACGTTACGACTATTCTCATGACGTTACAACTATTCTCATAATGTTACGACTTTATTCTCATAATGTTACGACTTTATTCTCATGATGTTATGACTTTATTCTCATGACGTTACGACTATTCTCATGACGTTACGACTATTCTCATAATGTTACGACTTTATTCTCGTGATGTTACGACTTTATTCTCATGATGTTATGACTTTATTCTCATGACGTTACGACTATTCTCATGACGTTACGACTATTCTCATAATGTTACGACTTTATTCTCATGATGTTATGACTTTATTCTCAAGACTTTACGACTATTCTCATAATGTTACGACTTTATTCTCATGATGTTATGACTTTATTCTCATGATGTTACGACTTTATTCTCATGACGTTACGACTATTCTCATGACGTTACGACTATTCTCATGACGTTACGACTATTCTTATAATGTTACGACTTTATTCTCGTGATGTTACGACTTTATTCTCATGATGTTACGACTTTATTCTCATGACGTTACGACTATTCTCATGACGTTACGACTATTCTCATGACGTTACGACTATTCTCATAATGTTACGACTTTATTCTCGTGATGTTACGACTTTATTCTCATGATGTTACGACTTTATTCTCATGATGTTACAACTTTATTCTCATGACGTTACGACTATTCTCATGACGTTACGACTATTCTCATGACGTTACGACTATTCTCGTAATGTTACGACTTTATTCTTGAAATAGAAGAAAAATAATCTTTAGCCTGGCCCTTATACTCTGTCATCCTTTGGCTTTATAACGTAATTAAACATCAAATTATTTGATTTTATGTTAGGATCACAATATGGTGCTTAAAATAAGCACTTTTTCAGTTACCCGCTTTATAAGCAACTTAAACAGTTGTTGTTTTTTGTTGTTTTGTTTCCATTAATATTTGGTTTATACGCTAATATTTTCAAATTTTATTTTGCTTTATTGTACACATTTTTAATTGATAAATTCTGAGACTTTTTGTGAAATCCTTGTCAGTTTGTTCAACATAAATTACTGTCTCTGGAAAAAAAGTTTGTTTTTATATATTTGCAGTTAATCTCGAGCTTGAAATAAGGTCTTTTTACATATTAGGTGCCTTCCAAACGCTGATATATTTAACAAGGTGTTAGTAATCTGCAGTCAGCTACTTATGGTTTTATCTTGTTTCTCTCAAAGCACCCTGTTAGACAAAGACTGCAACCCCTCAGAGAACGTTTTTAGAGTGCTTTTATTTTGAAGTGTCAGCCGCCTTCTCTTCCTGTTTCAGTTGCTCCGATGCAATGTAGCAGCTTTGCTGAGCGCGGTGAGCTAGTTGGCTAACTGGGGTCTCAGGCCGTTTGACCTGCCTGCTACAGTGAGTCTGTTTACATTGACTGCTGTCTCTCTTATCACCGTTGCAGAAAACGTCTCGCGGCTTTCTGCTCATTTAGCTGAACTCTTGTAAAACTCCTTTTAAAAACGTCCATAAATGCTACGTTAGCTAGCTTTAGCTGAATTGAAGCCATTGCTAACGCTAGTTGTTATCTTTTTAATGAGACTTTATGTTGAAATAAAGCTTCTACACCAATCCAGGGAAGTAAATACATGTAATCTGTTAATTTATCATACTATAATATCATTGTTTTTTTCTGTCTTTAAACAGATTTGTTAAAGTTGAGGTTATCTGTCTGTTTATCTTTGCACTCGTCTGCCTTTACATGTAAGTTAATCAATTCTAATCTTTTTAAGCTGATTTACTTAGCTTTTTAGATGCTTGGAACCATATAGTTTGTTTTAAAATATATAATTAAAGAAGTAAGAGCTGCCTTAGTTGAAAAAGTTGACAGTTTCCTGGGAGCAGACATTGTTGACATTAGATATCCACCTCTGTGCGATCATAACAACCATTAACCCAGGTATCAACCCAGTTTTTTTAGCCGTTTTATTGTTGTATGCGTTTGTTTGGCTAATTTAGAATATTCACTCTACATTTAAATGTGACATAAACAAAACAGCGTGACCAAAGTGGTCAGTTTATGTTCTATTTAGGAACTGAAAACTAACCTTTCAGACCTTTGTTCGTAATTTGAGTCTTTCTTCCTTTTTGCTGCCTGACAAGTGTTTGCTCCAAGGCTTTTTTTATTATCTCTACATTTATAGACATGTTTTGGGTTCTTTATGTTTAAATTAAATCCTATCTCCTTCTAAATTTTCATTTTACAGACCATAGGAATACTCGATGTAAGATGAACACTGAGGACAAGTTGGATGGGATGCTGCTGAAATGCAGCAGCGGAGGGATAGATGGCAGAGGAAGAGTCTGTTTGGGCACTGGGGGACTGGTGGTGATGACCCTCGGGGAGAGATCGCTTGCAAACCAGCCCCTTTTGGCTGAGGATGATGACGATGAAGGTGACGAGGACTTGACTGGAGGTTCGCTGGTTACACATGACCTGGTCCCTCCACAGCAGCTGATGATGCCGGAGGAGGTGACAAAGAACGGCGTGGAAGGATTGGAAGAGGAGGGAGGAGGCGAGGTTGGAGTCAACTTCCCCCTTAAACTCAACAAGTTGTCCTACTCGCTTCATATGCCAGTGAGTTCACTTTTCTGATGGTTTTATTTGAGGATCCTGCTGTCTGTGCAGCAAACAGTCCTAAGAGGTCACACTGAAGCTGCAGGCTACCCACAAGGGTGGAGTTTTATAGAGGGCAGGGTTTCAAACACTTCTCGTTGGTTAAATATTTCCAGTTTATGTTTCAGTTGCTGTACAAACCCCCTGATGGTTTATCTATGCTAAAAATTTTAGTTCTTCACAATTAAACCCATGTTTTTGACCAAGGAAACCAGCTACCCTTAATAAAAATGTCGAAATTACGTGTTTAGTTCTGCTTTCAGCATCTCTCATTAAACCGTTTTCAAGGATTTAATGTTAGCTTTAAAATATCTTATAACATGTATGTTATTAGGAAGAAATGAAAACGAATCAAAGCTCCTCATGACTGTTCCTCTATCTTCAATTTTGAATCTAAGAGGAGAAAGTTTGTTAGTTGATCTTGTAACCAGTTCTGGTTTTGATTATTATAAGTCTGTAAATCTTTCAAATGTTCTCTTTAGATGGATTTAAATTATGACAAAATAATCAGTAAAAGTTTTATTGCTGGAAATCGCACAATTTCATACTTTGTGTGAAAAACCCTTATTACCCCACTGGAGCTGGGCAATAAAACAATATCAATTAACAATTAATCAACTAGCTTAATCAACAATTAATCGGATAAACTGTGATTATTCAATTATTAAAATCTCAGCTAATTTAGATAAATTGATTAATTGTTATTTGGACATGTTCAGACTATAAAACATTCCATTAGCTGAAAGAGTAACCCACTCAGCGCCGTTTTAATGCCAAAATGGTAGAAACAAATGTATAAAGACTTGCATTTGAGATGAAAAACCTATCCAGAAATCATCAAGTGGCAGTTTTAGCTTCATTTGTTTTAAATTCTATATACAATCTTGTTTAATTAACCTTTTTCTATCCAATTATTATTCAAATAAGCAAAAAAACAAATCAACAGAGTAATCCGTCAGCAGAATCATCATTAGTTGCAGCCCTAATATCGGTATGTAACAAAATACACACCTAAGAATTATTCATAGAAAATACGCTGATAAAAACACCTATAATTTCAACTGTGAATTTTGGGGGATGTAGGCAGAGGTAAGGATTTACCCTGTAGGACTGACCTCTTTTTAAAGGTTAGAGGAAATATTTTTCAGTTCAGCATTTTTCCCAATGCTAATGTTTTTGTCTGTTTGATCCCTCCCTCTAGATCATCGAAGCAGCTTTAATAACAAATTTTTTTTTATGAGGTCATATACGGTAGACAAATACAAAGAGTAATACTAGAATATTCCTGCTAAGCTGGAATTTAATACTACATTCACATTTAAAGCAGCAAAGGAGGCAGAAGCAGCTAGTTTACATGCAAAGTCAATGGTTGACGCGCATCAAGGCGCAGCAAAACGTCCTGCAGCGAGTTTTGAGCAACAGGAGCAGCGCGTTGTGAGCTTCTGAGCATATGATGCGCTGCAAACGCAGCAGCTGCTGGAGTTGGAAAAATTGCCGACAAAACATGTTCACTTTTATTATCCTGGTGTCTGTAGTTTGGATTACTTACATGAAAACTGCCTTCCAGCCGCAGCGGCAAACCGCAAAGCGGCGACCGGGCCAGAGGCCTACTGACAGCGCAACGCCAGTATGTGGGGGTCTCAGTGGCTCCCACGGCGAAATAATATTTGAAGGCAGGATGGTAATCTGGATGAACTGCACATGCGTTTTTGTTTCTCTCGCTGCTTGCGGTCTGAACATAGCAGAAGAGATCAGTGGCCGTTTTTCACCTCACAGCTTTACAATGTGTTAAAAACTAGCAATCTTCCTCCAGCAGGAGGTTTTTCAGTGTCATTGGATGTAGTTAACACAAACTGCCTGGCTGTGGACCTCAGAGTGGAAACATTTATGACTTACAACTAGGGATGCACGATATTGGGATTTTGGCCGATATCCGATATGCCGATATTTTAAAACTCATGTAGCCGATAACCGATATCGATACCGATGTTAAAGCTGGACAAAAATAAGTAGTCATTGAAAATAGCTGTTTTGTTATCCATTTCTGACACTTTGAAAAATAATGTACTCAAATATATTTTCATATGCTGATATCAAATTGATTTTTAAAAACGCGGTATCGATCTATTTTACTTTCAAAATCTCGTGAAATTTCATCGTTCTGTTACAAACTCTCGTGATATTTTGCAAATTCTTGTGAGATTTTGTTAGTAAAATAGATCGATACCGCGTCAATATATCAACATATAAAAATATGGCAAAATATTGTGAATTTTCGGGGGATTTCATAGCGTAACAATGACATATAGCAATATTTCATTAGTAAAAGAGATTGATATGGTGTTTTTAAAAGGCAATATATCAGCATATGAAGATATTGTGATATTTTAATGTATCAATATTTTTTCCCTCGTCTTTAGAAGTTTTCAAGTCTGTAAAAAGGAAGTTTTTGAGGAAGAAGAACTAGTATTTTATTTTATTTTTTTTTAGACTTTAGAAACTCAGAAGCTGATCAAATATCGGGTTAAATATCGGTGGGGTGGCCGATGTCCGATATTCAGTTTGGGGGCCAATTATATCGTGCATCCCTACTTACAACCATTTGAAAACAGAGGATTCTGGAAAAGTAAAGAAAATGAAGAAAATATTTTCTTAAACTTATATGTTTTACCTCTGTGCTTATATCTTTGGTACTTCTTTAATGCGGTCAACCCTTTTTAAATGTGAGTCTCAGTTCAGTTTGGTGTCAGACAAACAGGAGAAGCTGGAGCACTGTGTGATCTCTTTAAGTCTTATCCTTTTATCTGCTGCATTAAAATCACTGATAAAAAAAAAAAAAATAAAGGGAAAAGATTGAGCTGCAAGCTCATAAACCGATAAGAACATATTACCAACTTGTGTCATGTATTTAGTCACTCCTAAACTATGCAGATGTCCTCTAAAACCAGCTGTAGAGTCATTTCTCAGCTATAGAGGGTGAAGGCAGGTCGTCCTCCAGACTAAGGGGCCTCAGGCATCCTAATATTGAAGTGTCCTTCTCTTTGTTTTGCTCATTCCCACCTGCCAGACCTGTATGAACCGCCAGCTGCCCGGTATCCCATAAAGTGGGTCATGTGCCATATTAAATGTCTTGACTATGTCTGGCCCTGCTGTTACAGCTGAACATCAAGCAGGAGCTGAAGCTGTCTGACCCTGGAGTCCATATAAAGAAGGACAAAAAAGCAATTAAGGACATGACTGTGTACCCCAAGAAGAAAAAAAGGAAGCAGCGCTCGCCTGCAAAGGTAGAAATAGGCAATTGGTTTTATTTTAGGACATTTGTTAGCCCTCACCCCTGGATTGTATAAATAAGCAGAAAACTCCTTCACTTCTTTGTTCTTTTTTTTGCTATTTTAGATCCTGGACATGAATGATGATGGATCTGTTGCCATTCCTAACCCAAAGTGTCATGTTTGCCCTCATTGCAACGCTGCATTCAGAACCAATTACCATTTGCAGAGACATGTCTTCATTCATACAGGTACAGAAAGCCTTAAATTCTTTATTTGAAATTGCTTGTTTTTATCCACCTTATCCCTGGCAGCGGTTGGAGAGGCAACTATTGCAGTTGCTACTCAGCATTTCTTTTTAAATGTGTTTTAAAGTACTGTTAATCAGTTTTTTGTTTTCTTTATAATAATCACAGCTAATCATTTCTGACCATGTTTCTTTTTAAGGTAGGATTTCTTTAGATAAATAATCTTTCCTGTTTTGGAGCAGCGCCTATAATCTCAGTAGATTAGATTAGACATTTAGGTTCCCTTGTTTTTATTATGGTTATAATTTATCAGTAGATGATACATGGTACCCCATTTTCAACAATCATGAAAAATTACATCTTCAGAACTGATGGGGGCGCCACATGGCTCTATGTTAAAGCCAGCACAGTTTGTAGAGCTTGTGGTCATGGGTTTGATTCCCAAGCTGCTTACTAGGGACGTCCCAATGCAACTTTTTCATTTCTGATATGATATCGATGCGATATTAAATCAGGGTTTCTGCGGGTCGTTAAAAGTCATTCAATTATTATTTTTTAAATGAAGGCCTTAATTTGCATTAAAATTCATTACTGCAAATTATGAATGTGATTATAGTGGCATTTAAAATGCTTTATTTAAATGAAATAAAAAATTCTACAAACAGTTTCATCAGATATAACTAGTTTTGCGTGTTTGCACGGAACTGCTTCCAGTTGATCGTAAAGTCGTATGTTTGGAAGAAAAGAAAAAATCGAGGGGGAGAAAAGGCTAGGGAATGGGAAAATGCTCATTTTTAACAAAAGTTGCTGGAAGCAAGGAATTTGGGACATAGCTGCAACCTGTCGATGGTTAACATGATGAACTTGTACCTGTTGTACTTGTTGATGGCATTAGAATTATTTCTAAGAGTATTAAAAGAGCTTTAAAAATAATAATATATATATATATATATATATATATATATATATTAGGGGTGGAACGGTACACAAAATCCACGGTTCGGTTCGATTCACGGTTTCTGGTCACGGTTTTCGGTTCGATTCGATACATGTTGATTGTTACACCGAAATCCCATGAAAAAATTATGAAATTAATGAAAAAATCCCCCCAAAAATAATGGATTGTAATTATTTTAAATGATCCGTGGAAACCCTGGATCATTTCCGTATGTTTTGCTGCTTTGAATTTAATCATCTGGCGCATGCTCTCTACCATCTCCCAGGGACTCAGAGGGGAGCAGACGAAGCCACAGTGGGGGCTGTAGCTTTGCTTTGAGCAGCCGGTCTGGGGCGCAGCGGGGGTTGCTAAAGGAGTATGAGGGATTTCGGGGTTAGCATGACATGTTGCTGTTAGCATAAACAAAACGTGTTGCACAATGCTTGCACACTGTTGCACTTTTATCCACAACTTTCTTTCCGCCGTCATCGTAGGTCACTCTAAATGCAAAGTGGTCCCATACAGCAGACTTATAAAGTGCTGCTGGCGCGTCTTCCAAATCCTGTTCTTTCCCACTCGCCAGTCCGACACAATTCTCCACAACAACTGATTTTTTTCCCTGCTACACCCGGCTAAGCTGCTTCGCTTCTTCTTCTTCTTGTTTACTACTGGCGGTTGGCTTTGGTCGCAGTACCGCCACCTTCTGCTCTGGAGTGTAATCGCTTCCTCTATGAGAAAAAGGAGCAGCGCATGAACCGAACGAAACACACGTGAACCGAACCGAGACAGTCGAACCGAACGGTTCTGACGGTTTTCATAAATCGTCCCATCCCTAATATATATATATATATATATATATATATATATATATATATATATATATATATATATATATATATATATATATATATATATATATATATATATACATATATATATAAAAGCTCTTTTATGAGTTTTAAAAAGGAGTAAAATGCATGTCGTCCCCTTTAGGTTATTAAACAGATTAAAGTTTATATTAAACATTCACATTACAGTTTAATACATTATTTGTTGTCTGTGTTTTAAAAACACAAAAAAGACAAATCTGTTCAGACATAAGGTGGAGAAATGTCCAATCGGCTTCATTCGTACCATTTATCTGATTATTTTTCCCGACTCTGTAGGTGAGAAGCCGTTTCAGTGCAGCCAGTGTGACATGCGGTTCATTCAGAAGTATCTCCTGCAGAGGCATGAGAAGATCCACACTGGTGAGCTTTAGATGATTTACACTAATGTCAGTTTGGATTTGGTTTATGGTTGTGTTTTTGTTCAACATCTTTGTGTTTTGCTTCAGGTGAGAAGCCTTTTCGCTGCGATGAGTGTGGGATGAGATTCATCCAGAAGTATCACATGGAGAGACATAAGAGAACTCACAGTGGAGAGAAGCCCTACCAATGTGACTACTGTCACCAGGTACAAAGCTGTTTACATGGAAATGAAGGCATTTAGATCAGTTACAAATATAATAAATCAGGAGTATAGGTCTTATCAGGGATCTTATTGGTCTTAAAAAAGTATGCGAGGCAAATTTGATCATTTTCTACATCTTTTTAAAGTATAGATATGGTTTCCAGACCTTTACATCCCACTATTTCAAAGATGGAAATCTGATTTTCCCTCAAAAAAAGTAAATTTTTTCCCATATCATTTATTTCTGTTTTTTAAGTTGCTGATTGAACTCCTAAATAAAAACATAGCAATTTAGACACAAAAATTAAGCCATAAAAAAAAAAAAAAAATAATAGTCAGGTTAGGTGTTTTATAAAATATGTGAATCAGGAAATTGTCTCTATACCAAACTGAACGATTGTTGTTCTCTACTTCGAAAAACACATTAGATTTTGAAATGGAAAAATTTTCTATTATTTCTTTTTTTTATATTTTTCAATTTAAAAATTCAACGTATAACATGGATGCATCAAAACCTGTTTTTATTTCAGTGTTAAATTCTGTTTAAACTAACAGATTATAATTAAAAATGTCTCTGGACCTTTACTGGTTGATGATTTTCTTTATTCGGACCCCGCTGAGTTTTAATTGGTTACTAGTTGGATCTAGTTTCCCTGTCTCTGCTTGAAAAAACAAAGCATTCCCTTAAATAAAGATTTAGGTTTTATTTTGGAAATAAATGACACAGATGTCTTAATTTTACTTGTGATTTCACATGTAAATTAAGCTTTTCTTGTTTTCATACAAAGTCAGATTGGTCTATTTGTTAAAATAATGTTTGATTTTCCAACAGCTGAAACATTTTTCAAGCAGTCTTGCTTGAAATTTTCTAAATCTGTTTCCTGTCCGCAGTACTTCTCCAGAACGGACCGGGTTCTAAAACACAGGCGAATGTGTCATGAAAACAGAGAGAGGAAGACGAACAAGGCTGCCAATAAAATGGGACCTCTGCGTGACGGCGATTCCTCAGGGTCTCCCTTTCTCTCCAAAGAGTGCTCTCTACCCAAGAAAAAGCGCCAAAAATGTGCAGAAAAGAGCTCAGGCTCCGCCAGTACCGCCCTGACAGAAGGGCATGTTTTCACCGCTGAAGAAGCGCAGGAGAAAGAGGGGCAGAGTCGGGATAAAATCGAAGCTCCGTGTATATTTGCTGTGTCATCCAAGGTCAAACATGAGTATGTTTTACCTGACTATTCGGTGGAACTTCCTGAGGAAACCGCCAGCCAAAACGAAGACGAGGACGTTTCATCAGAGGACACAACCCCACCAAAAATAGTCCTAAAGAAAATCCCCAAGAGAAGCCTTAAGCAGCCCAGCGAGCAAACCCCTCCCTGCCTGTCTTCCTCTCTATCCTCCTACGAGGAAACCGATAAGGTACCTCAGTTTACCTTTGAAATTGTGGACAAGCAGGGTCTTTTAGACGTGGAGAGCAACACTGACCTGGAATCAGTCGAACCTCTTCAAGGCGGGGCGCCCAAACCAGCCAGCAGCACAAACTACGACGACGCCATGCAGTTTCTCAAAAAGAAGCGTTACCTTCACGCCGCCATGGCCAACAACAGCCGGGACTACGGCCTGAACGCGAGCACCATCCCCTCCCAGCCGTCTGTCACCCAAACGGTGGTGTCCGCCGTCATCGATGAAACTGTCCCCGCCACCATCCTGGAGCCCCAGCCCATCAGCACGGAGATCAAGGCGGCTCACGAGAAAAACGTTCTGCCTGATGAGGTTCTTCAGACGCTGTTGGAGCACTACTCTAACAAAGCAAACGGCCAATCAGACATTTCCTTCACTGTGGCTGATACAGAAGTGACTTCCAGCATATCTATTAACTCCTCCGACGTTTCTGAGAGCAGCCCTGTGGAGAGCATGGGATCCTCCGGCGCCCAGACTCAGCCTCCCACAGAGAAGGTCAGCCTCCTGCATGAATACTCTAAATTTCTCCAACAAGCTCTGGAGAGGACCAGTCAGAACGACAGCTACTTAACCAGTCAGAGCCTCAGCCTGGTCGCTGAAAACCCCACCTTAGCGGGGCAGCCGCTGTTCTCCAATGAGAAGCATTTCTCTTCGCCCAGCAGGTTCAAATCAGGGATGAGCTCTCCATTAAGGTCCACGTTGGAAAAACCTCACTTCGGTTTACTGGTCGGAGACTCCCAGCACTCGTTTTCATTTTCAGGTGACGAGACCACCCCGCCGTCCGCCGTGTCTCCAGCAGACGAGGACTTCCTGGAGCAGGTCTCGCCCTCCAAGAAGTCCGACTCCACGCAGGGGATACTGCAGACTTTCCAGATCAACTCCTTTGATCAGAATTTCAAATCACATTTCCAGGCGACGAGACCGGCGTCGTCGCCGCAGTTCACAATCGCCAACGGACAAATGGGGGTCCGAGGACACGGCACGGACTTCTCAGAGTTCCCTTTAGTTCGAGTCACCGAGACTAGGGTTCAATTGAACTCGTCCCCTGACGTTTCAACCAGCGAATCCTTTGGCTGAAGAAAAATAAAACAACAGGGAAAGCAGTCATTTGTTCGTTTTAGCAGCACTTTATTTCATCAGTCTTGTTTTGCCAAAACTATTCCCAACACAATCATGTTTTCTTTCCTAAAGGGGTCTGAAAAATACTCATGTATGTTTTTTTTGTTTTTACTTCAACCTCTCTTTACATACTAAGAGGAACAACTCGTAACGAGAAGCATTTCTCCACTTGATTCAAAGCAGTACTTGTTCTGGAATGTACACTAGGAGGTTAAGTGACCAAAGTGTAATTATACCCGTATCTTTGCCGCCGAGAGTTTATTTAATAGGGGTGTCGGTTTGCCTTGCTTGAAAAATAATCAACTCACCTTTTGCTGCTTGATGCAATATTTCCACTTTTTATACACCAGTCAGCCGTTAAATTAAGTCAGATAAGTGAAGGTCCCTCGATTGTTGGGAGTTTTCTTCAGTATGTGTAGATCTAGAGGCTCTCAGAGCGTTTGTTTCTCTGGTTTGGGGGTGGGGAGTTAACACACAGGTGCATCTCAGTTTGTTAAAATATCAATGAAAAATTTAATAACTGTAATTCAGAAAATGAATCTTAGAAAGCGCGTATTTATTCCACAGTGATGCATTTTTGGTATTTATTTCTGTGCAAAGATAACCATGGCTCACAGGGGAAAAATAAAGATTCGTCAGCCTTTTTAAAGGGACAATCTATTCACTTGGTATATTTTGCCCCATATTACAGACTAATCGGCTAAAATAAGGCTTCTATATGGCAGCAAAAAGAAAGAAATAGTTTTACCAGATCTGATTACCACTGCACTTATCATCTGGAATCATTTATTTTCTTCCTTCCACTCAATTTTCCATTAACATGGTTTGATTACTGAACCATATAGAACCAGTCAGCCTAGTTAGTAATGACTTTTTATGTTTTACTCCTCTTATAGAGGATATAAAGGACTGTTCCAGGCCCACAGTCTTTTTACGGTATTATAAGCTGCTGTGACCATAACATTTCTGCATTATAAATCTTTACATTGCTCTAGTACAACATTGTGATTGTCTGCCATGATCACTTGAATTAACAGAATCAGTCTAAATAGTGGAGATATTGATTTTTAGAGCCAAATTACTGAATAAATCAACTTGTTGCTGTATTTTAATTGACTGAGATGCTTCTGTGGTGCTGTAACATTAATGTTGCCCATTCTGGGTGACGGGGTTCATAATATTACAGCTGATTGTTGTATGGTTGTATTTAACGGGCGCCTCTTATTTTCTTTCTTTACCTACCTCCCCTTGATGCTCATCTACAAACTCCCTTTATTTTAGCTCTTGAAATAATCAAAAATGGCACAATTATTCTTTTTGTTTGAGTCACTTTATTCTCATCTAACTCGGATGTGTGAAACTTATGGTACAGGACTTACCTACTTCATTTCTTGAATAAATTGAAGCCCAATTTGGTTGATTTAACGACCAAATGTAAAATCCTGATAGATCTAGTTGAGGTCTTAAAATCGTACTTTTTAAATCTCCCCATTTGCCTCTACAAAGGCTCATCTGTGCTCTTAACGAGCATGTTTCTGTCTCACTTTATGAAATGATTTAGGCCTGGCAGAGCTGCACACATTGAAGTGTTTGCAGGATAATGTTTTAAACTTTGTTCAGATGGTATTAAATCACTTGTGCTTAGTCTACGCACCGTTTGCACACTACAGCGAATGTAGGATGTAAAGTCACTGCTATAGCTACCTTTCTGAGACCTAATGGAAACTTTTGCCATTTATTTAATTCTAGACATCCTTTTTGCCTCATTGTAAAGGGCGAAGGTGTTTGGGTTTAAGTGGCGTCTAAAAACATTGGCAACAATTTTATTTCACTATTGTTGGTCTACGGTTGAATTAATTTAGCTTCTGTGCCTTTCTGTTCTTTTTCAGCACTTCGTTTTCCTCATTCCTGTTAATCATTTTGTCTTTTTACTTACTGCGCTCTAAGGCTACCAATTCCTCTTGCACAATAATCACAAACTCATAAGCTATCAACTTAATTTTTTTACTGTATTGTGATAAACTTGGAGCTTTATTTGATTTGCTTTGTCATGTTTTTGTTGTTTTTAGTTTCTAAAAAAAGAATTTAATGTTTCAAACTATTGAGAGCAGATGGCATTTATTCAGTTTTATGATTTTTATTGGCTCCAGAGACTTAGCTACAGATCAGGTCTTATGGAAACCATGCAATTGCAAATATGTGACTGATGAGTGGGGTCCCTTTTCTACCCTTATGTTATTAATTGTACATACACGTCTTTATGATTTGTGCGTGCACCATCCGGTTCGGGAATGTTTTAAAGCTCCCTCTTGTTACATCTTCACCGACAATCAGGGACACAGGCGCCACATTAAGCATTTAATTTTCCTCAAGAATGTATAAAAATGATCCTGCTGTAAATATGTTGTGTATATTTTTTATGTTCTGCAAAGTACTGTTTATCAAAAAAAAGGAGAAAAAAGATGTGCAAGAGACACTTTTTGTCAGCGGAAGGCATTGTTTCCAAGCATTTCATGGATATTACAATGAGACACATGACCTGAGTGAAGATGGCCTCCCAACCCTATTCAAATCAGACAAAATTGGTGTCAAACGTTTGTGCTGGTTCATGCAGCAAAAATTTTTGTTTGTGCCGCTATATTTTTAAAGATAAAGAAATGTTTCTAGAGATCACCAAAGGTCAACCAACCCCCCAACTTCTTCAAATCAGACGAAATGGTTATCAATTAACTCGACTCCAAATGGAAACAATTTTGTCTGATTTCATAAAAGTTGGTAGCCTCGTGAGATCATCCTGATCTCGCAAGATTTCACTCGCTAATCAGTCTGGAGACTCTCCGTTGAAGAAAATTTGGAGCCGTTCACCAAACGAACGTCCAATCAGCGTTGGCTTTGAGGCGGGTTGAGGTGTGACGCAACGAGAAGCGCGACAGTTCAGTCTAAAGAACATGGCGGCTTCAGCCGATGAAACTAGCGTTAGCGTGGCTATCGAGCAAGTTTTATCGGAATTACAGAGTATTTCTTCACTGAAAGAAGAGCAAAACACTGCTCTGGAGGCTTTTCTCAGAGGAAAAGATGTTTTTGCTCTTCTCCCGACTGGTTTCGGCAAGAGTTTGATCTATCAATTGGCTCCTCTTCGTTGTCGCTCTGTTAGTACGTCATATGCTTCGTTGATCTGATTGGTTTATTTGGCCCGTCTATCACCAACATAGGCCAATCAGCTAACCAGTATTTTCGCCCCTTTCCAAAATTACTTCTACGGAAGGTTTCCAGATGGATATGCGGAGCAAATCCATCTGGCGGAGTCAGGTTAAAAAGTCGGGGGGCTGGTTGACCTTTTGACCTTTACCTTTTCATTAATATCTTCAAACCCCAAGCAGCACAAACTCGACTCCGTTTACTACACAAACGAAGTCGAGTTAATTGGCACTGAATTTTGTCTGATTTGAAGGAAGATGGGGGGACCAGTTTCACTCAGGTATAAACATGCACTGCCAGATAAAGATGTGAATGTTTTCCACATCTGCCAGTAGTTTTAAAAAGAAATCAGAATCATTAAAGCCGGTGTTGAATTGAAAGGCAAACGACTAGAGATGGTTAAAACAAGCGGAGAATTACTTAGTCTAAGAGTTGCTCTCTGTATCAAATATTTAACCTGAGCTGTTAGATTATGACAAGGTTGTGGTTTCCTGGTCTCCACAGGCTGTTTAATTGAAGCTATTTTGAAAAGCACAGAGCAGATGGGTTTATATGAGAAACCTGTTCTGCCTTTGGGAATTTCCAACACATAACTCATTAGTTTCCTACATCAGCAGCTCTTAAGTTTCTTTATTTTTTCCTTTTGTCTACCTATGTCCGTCTTCTGGCCATAAGTGTCCTTGTATAAGCTAAAAAAAATGTGTTTTGTGTAAAAAAAGAAAAAAAAAAAAATCTGTATTATAGATTTTTTTATAAATGATATTTTTGACAAGTCATTTAAAGCACTGATACATAAAATCACAGAGATACATTCTTTGCTCCCATTATTTAACTTTACTAGTTCCTGTTGAAACCTTCCAGTTACAGAACAGGAATCCAAACGTTGACATTTTTCTACCTTTTAAAAGGATTTGGACAAAGAAGCTTCCTGCTTCCCTGGTGGTTAAATGAAACGGCTGAATTTGCATGGTCACTGACTTGTTTGGTTGGATGAACTCTTTTTAATATAATTGTGCAGCTTTCATTGTAACTGATAAATCAGTCGAGTTAATCCCATATAATTAGAGCTTTGCTAAATATGATTTTGTAGGCAAATTGATTAAGTTGTTCTGATTGTTGTGTGTACTGTCCTTATGAATAAAATGATTCACAGGAAGTGAGCTGGAAGATCTGATTTTTGTATCATTTTTATGCAGAAGTGTCAAGTAACAAAGTAAAAATACATTACTGTACTTAAGTACACTTTTTAGGTATCTATACTTTACTCCATTGCTTATTTGTCTTCCTACATTTAACTTCTACTCATTACATTTTCAGACAAGTATCTGTACTTTCTATTCCTTACATTTACAAAACAAACGTTACGCGTCACTCTTGGCTTCGGTTTAATGTTTATAAATATTTATTTCCCGTCAAGTGCACCATCCAATGCAGATCATTGGCTCCATCCACATCTAGTGAAAACAAGTGTCATTGGATGAGTCTTATAACGCAAACACTCATTGGTTAGCTAAAGGAAATCATCAGAAGTAAGCAGGTGTTCTTCAAACTGCAAATGTGAATTGTCTATATCATGCTACAATGTCAGATTAAGAAAAAGATGTTAAAAGGTCGGACACAGGCGAGAGCATATCGGGAGATGGAGACGGAGACCAGCATGACCTCCCTCATCCTTGGCCCTATCTCAGAGAATTAGCTTTCAATTCATATAGTGGCATCTGGCTGTTTTTATTAAAGGTTACTTCATACTTTTATTCTTTAAGTAGTTTTTGGAGCACATAATTTTTTACTTTTACTTGAGTGAAGAGGTCAAGTTGATACTTAAACTTTTACCAGAGTGTTTTTAAACTGCAGTATCTATACTTCTACTTCTAAAACGTGTGTACTTTTAGCACCACTGCTTTTATGTTATTTATAGCTGCCTATCAATGCAGGGGAGGATGATGCTTTTTTGTCTTTGGGTGAGACCCTGGACTAGTAGCAAGTTTATAATCACCAAAACATACTTGGTTTAATAAAGCTAACGGATTTAAAAATGAAGAAAAAAGAAAAGAAAACCTTTTAAATTTCAGGACAGATTTATGTTTGGGAACATATATAAATATAGCTTAAAGAGATAGAGAACCCTTTTTGGACTTAATTGTGCATCTGATGTGTTGGGTAAAAAACTGCTTTAATTTGAAAATGACTCTCCTTAATTTATGCTATATAGCTAAATCGTAGGGGTACTTCAAAGCTACCTGCCCTATTTCTCAGCAAAACTCAGATCTTTGGTCCACTTATTAAGCAGGTTATCTTAAAAAACCATACAATAGAAATTAGTGTTGCACCGATGCCATTTTTTAGCCCTGATACCCGGCTGTGCAGTATCGGCCGATACCATCTATTTGAAATTTATGTGTCTATATATGAAGAACTGCATACTACTTGGATGTAAAGTAATTGCCATCATGGCTTTGACAAGCTGCTGCCTACCTTTGTGAAGCAAGAAAAAGACTAATACGAAGTGAATCCAGTAGAAATTTTTATTGCCTACCTGGAATGGGTGAAAATAGTTTAATAAACTTTTGGCTCTCAAAATGGTATCAGTGCCCTATTTGGTACTCGCCGATACCGATGCCACCATTTTAGTGCAGTATCGGGGCCCTGTCCAATACTGGTATTGGTGCAACACTAACAGAAATTCAAACTAAATTGTATTTTAACAGTCAGTTTATATTTATTTCTTAGAAAGTACACCATATTATGACTTAGACAGACTTAGTCATTTTGTACATACAGGGTGTATACGAAACGACATTTCGATCTGAAGACATTTCCATTTCTAAAGTGCAGCAGTGATAAAATGTAAACATAAGACTAGTTTATGATTTACAGTTCCCAACATTCAGCGCTTTTAAAAAAACAAAAAAACAAACTAATTTTATACAACATTATACAACATATTAAATAAAAACAGATGAAATAAAAGAGTTTTTTTTTCCAGCTTTAATCATTTATCAACCTTGTACTGCTGGGCTTATTGCCAAGACTAACACAGGATTCCCAGCATTCAAGGTGAGAGAGGAAAGTTTACCTGCTGACGTTTTCACACACCTTATCACTCTGGATTCATTTTTCCTTTTCCGCTGTTTTCTATTAACACCAAACGACATGGAGACATAAACGGTAAGCTTAAAACGATTATTTAAAGAAAGAAAAAAATGCTTTTGGAGAAGTTTACCTTTAACTCACAGACTGAACATTTACGCACAGCTAAAATTAAAGATATATATTAGCGGTACGCACTATTACTGCAGTGGAAAGTGCCACGCAATCATATTTGCATGACTTTCATTTACTTATATTAAAGTTTAAAACGTGCATAAAACTATTAATGAGCAACACAGTCAGTACTGTCAGCCACAGTACTGTTGGTTTTGACTGACTTTAAGGTGAAGCTGTGACGTCCTTGGAGCTGTTTGCGCCGCAGCGTCAGAGAGACTCACACCCAGCAGGATCCGGGTGAGACTCCTGCTGCTGTTTGACAAAGGCCCGCAGCTTCCTCACGCTTTCACATGGGAGAATAAGAACAAGCAAACAAGCCTAGGGTTGATGTCAGTGAAGGAGCTTTCCTGCTATCGATGGAGACCCTGCCAATCGGTTGGCACGTGCACACCTGCGGCCAGGAGGGCGATGGGATCCAGCTGCTGAAGGAGGGAGCAGCTGACGCCATCAGCAACACTCAGGTTCACGATCTGTTCCATGAAGATGCACAGGTAACATTCTGATATTTACCAACTTCAACCTTTTATCAGTCACGTTACTTTCCGAAATATATAAACACCTTAGACGGTTAAAAAAAAATAAAAACCAAGCAATATTTATGGGTTTTGAATAAATACTTAGCTCCAAATTAAACATTTTGTTTGGAGCTAAATATTTATTTAACAAACTAAATATTTCATTTGCAAACTAAATATTTATCTTCTAACTAAATATTTCTTTTAAAAATAAGATTTTTTTTTTATAAATGAATGAGTGACACGGTGGAAAACAAATTAACCCCTTATTTGTCCTCTTAAAACACGCTAAATAATCATAAATATTGCTCCTAATTTTTGATTGCTTAACTTTACAAACAGCCCCCCATGTTAGAGCACCTCTTTTAAAGAAAATCAACATTTTATTTGCAATATAAATTGGTGCATAACTGTGAGGTT